GAAGACGGGACTCTAATCGGGTTCCCGGTTTGGGAGGTAGAGCCGGATTTCACTTTAGGCAAACTAGTTCCTTAAGAAACTTGAATTCGAGGTGTTAACGGCCCAAAATCACCAAACGGCATCGGTTTAGTACGAAACTTGGCACACACGACTGCCTAGGCACAAGAGACTTGTGCGAGAAAACGGGACTCGAATCGGGTTCCCGGTTTGGGAGTTAGAGCCGGATTTCACTTTAGGCAAACTAATTCCTTAAGAAACTTGAATTCGAGGTGTTAATGCCCCAAAATCACCAAACAACGTCGGTTTAGCATGAAACTTGGCACACACGACCGCCTAGGCACGAGAGACTTGTGGGAGAAGACGCGGCTCAAATCGGGTTCCCGGTTTGGGAGTTAGAACCGGATTTCACTTTAGGGAAACTAATTCCTTAAGAAACTTGAATTCGAGGTGTTAACGCCCCAAAATCACCAAACGGAATTGGTTTAGCACGAAACTTGGCACGCACAACTACCTAGGCACGAGAGACTTGTAGGAGAAGACGGACTCCAATCGGGTTCCCGGTTTGGGAGTTAGAGCTGGATGTTACTTTAGGCAAACTAGTTCCTTAAGAAACTTGAATTCGAGGTGTTAACGGCCCAAAATCACCAAACGACGTCGATTTAGCACGAAACTTGGCACACACGACCGCCTAGGCATGAGAGACTTGTAGGAGAAGACGAGGCTCGAATCGGGTTCCCGGTTTGGGAGTTAGAGTCGGATTTCACTTTAGGCAAACTAGTTCCTTAAGAAACTTGAATTCGAGGTGTTAATGCCCCAAAATCACCAAACGACATCGGTTTAGCACAAAACTTGGCACACACGACCGCCTAGGCACGAGAGACTTGTGGGAGATGACACGGCTCGAATCGGGTTCCCGGTTTGGGAGTTAGAGCCGAATTTCACTTTAGGCAAACTAGTTCCATAAGAAACTTGAATTCGAGGTGTTAACGGCCCAAAATCACCAAACGGCGTCGGTTTAGCACGAAATTTGGCACGCACAACCACCTAGGCACGCGAGACTTGTGGGAGAAGACGGGACTCCAATCGGGTTCCCGATTTAGGACTTAGAGCCGGATTTCACTTTAGGCAAACTAGTTCCTTAAGAAACTTGAATTCGAGGTGTTAATGGCCCAAAATCACCAAACGACGTCGGTTTAGCACGAAACTTGGCACACACGACCGTCTAGGCATGAGAGACTTGTGGGAGAAGACGGGGCTCGAATCGGGTTCCCGGTTTGGGAGTTAGAGCCGGATTTCACTTTTGGCAAACTAGTTCCTTAAGAAACTTGAATTCGAGGTGTTACTGCCCCAAAATCACCAACCGGCGTCAGTTTAGCACGAAACATGGCACGCATGACCGCCTAGGCATGAGAGACTTGTGGGAGAAGACGGGGCTCGAATCGGGTTCCCGGTTTGGGAGTTAGAGCCGGATTTCACTTTAGGCAAACTAGATCCTTAAGAAATTTGAATTCGAGGTGTTAATACCCCAAAATCACCAAACGGCGTCGGTTTAGCATGAAACTTGGCACACACGACCGCCTAGGCATGACAGACTTGTGGGAGAAGACGGGGCTCGAATCGAGTTCCCGATTTGGGAGTTAGAGTCGGATTTCGGTCTAGTCAAAATTATTTACTAAACTATCTTTGTAATTATATAGTAGTTAATTTTTTAATATTTTTCTGTAATTAAAATATTAACAACATTATATTGTTATTAATTTTTTTTATTTTGTTATTTTCAGATATTTCCTGAGTAGCAGTTTGCTTCTTATGGAATGCGGGCGTGTAAAGATTATGACCAACTTTTGTTTTTGTAACCCACGAAAGAATCAAGATGAAAACTTTTGGTTTTGATTTTGATTTATGTTATTTAAATTTGTAAACAACATTATGTATGTATTATGCGACAACTTTTGGTTTTGATTTTGATTTATGTTATTTAAATTTGTGAACAACATTATGTATGTATTATGCGACATTATGTAGTGGCATAATTTTTATTGTTATGAATTTTTATTTATATATTGTTATTATGAATGGAACAACATTATGAATTTTCATCATGTGCCAACTTTTGTTTATGTATGTATTTATATTATTATGCAATTATTGATATTTTTTTAGTTATTTTTCATTTAATACAGGTTATTTTCATATTTTTAATAATTTTAATACAGGGTTTTTTTTTTTTTTTGAGACGGCAGAACACTCCGTCTCAAAAAGAAAATTGAACCAGGCTTTTTGCGACGGCACCTATACTGTCGCAAAAGGTAGGGAATTGAATTGAGGAATAAGGCCTTTAGCGACGGTATCATTGCCATCGACAATAGTCATTAGCAACAGCTCAGGTTGCTGTCTCAAATACACTTTTAGCGACGATATTTTTGCCGTCGCAAAAAACCCTTTTAGCGATGGCAATATGTCGTCGCAAAAAACTCAGATTTTCGTCCATTATTGGCGACAGAAATTTGTCGTCGCAAAAAAGGCATTTTCCCGTCGCAAAAACAAACCGTCGCTAAAACCCTTTTGCAACCCCTTTTGTTGCGACCCCCACTTGCCGTCGCAAAAAGCCATTTTACCGTTGCAAAAACCTTTTGAGACGGCGTTTGGGGTATTTACGACGGCGTTTTGCCGTCGCAAAAAACAATTTTTTTTGTAGTGTAGAGAGAAATGGAGAGAAACTCATTTCTCCTATAAGCCTCATTTTCAATCTTCCCAAAAGTTGAGAGATTGGGAGAGAAAAGAAACCACTATTTTCATAATACTAATTTTGTCCCTATAAAAATAAAAGAAATAAAATGATTGAAAATATAAAAAGGTTATTTTGGTAATATAACATAAAATAATTTTTTTTCTTTTTTCTTAATGAAATCTAACCAAACAAGAATGAAAGAAATCACAATCATTTGTTTTCTTTTATTTCTTTCTTATCCAAACAAAAATGAGAGAAATCACAATCGTTTCATTTCTTTTCTTTTCTCTTATAACTTAAGTAATTATTTCTTTCCTTTTCTCTCCAAAATTCCCAAACATGAAGAACAAACAACATTTAATATACACTGAACCTTCTGGATAATTTTTTCTTGGGCACTTTGCGGCCAAGTGACCAATGAGATGAGCTAAAAGTCCACCATTTTGCCGCGATTGGCGCATGAGCTGATCCAAATGGCTGAAAATGGGTCAAGTGTGAGTCACATAATATGCAGTGATAGTGATTTTGCATCATGTGGTTTAGTTGTATTGAGAAATAAATCAATAATTCAAATTTGTCTCCAAAACTAGGTATTGGCCAAACCAAAAAAAGGTGATTTTTGAGGTAAAATTCTAAGCAGTCAAGATTTTAAAAGTCAGTTTTAGGTGGTGCTACATAATAGAGTCGCTTAATCATGTAGGTAAGTCACAAACTTACACACAGATAGAAATTCAAACTCACATTTCTGACACTATTACAATTCACCCAAGCCTAAAAGATTCACACAATCTTTATTGTTGAGTATCATTTTTAATGTAAATTTAAATTAATTTATTTTAGTAAATAACTATATAGCTAGAGAAACTAAATATGTACCAACTATTTCATTGATATTCAATGTTACCATTGGGAAAAGGCTACTATGTGCACTCTTTTGGGGTGCACATTTTATGCACCTTATGCAAAAAGCTTAATTCACAAAATGTATTATTTTTATTAAAAAAAGTGTAACTTTTTTCTTTATAAAAAATATAACATTTTGCTTCTCATAAATTATATCACAAAAAGAATAATTTTAGTTATACATAATTTTTAAGTGCACATCATAACTTTACTATTCATAACTTTCATCACAAAAAATTCATAAATTTTTAAACAAAAATCATAATTTTTCTTACTATGTGTATTTGCACATTATAACATTTCTCTAGTGTGGGTTCGGAGATGCTATTTTTTAAAATTCATAATTTACTATTTTATTCTTGATGTCAATTAAAAATTTTAAAATTTAGAGTTGGACCAAGTAAATAAAAAGTTTAAAAAAAAAACAAAAGAAATCATTCCATCAATATACTTTCACCAAGCATCACTAGTCCTAATGGCAAGCAAACAAACATGTATGCACGATATTCTCTCTCTTGGCATAGCTCTCTTTCTCTCAAAGTATCTCATTCATTATTAAAGAGAATATGTAGACATATTCAACAATATGTCAAAATCATTGAAAGAATTTGTAATGTGCATGTTGTTTTATAAATATTTATTTATTAAATTAAGTGATTCTTTTAACTCAATTTTTGAGAGTGCCTTTTATTTGGCACATTATAATTTACTAAGACTGATTAATTAGTAAATTTAGCAACTCTTACTAAAAAATCTTTGAAAATGTTTGAAAAAATTCTTTATTTTCTTATATATATATATATATATATATTTTACTTTAAATTTTTTTAGCCTCTATCTACTGGCTTGAAAAAGGATTTTAAATTTAAGCCAGCTTTTGTGACTCATTTTTTCGATGAATCATTTCTTCGGACAGAAGAAGATTATGTAAACACTTACTCGAAATCTCACTTATCAGATTCCATTGTGGAAGACACCATTTTTTCTGAAGAATTCGCCATGATATATCTGATCCATGCATAATATCATGAAAAATAAAACGCCACTAATTCTTAACATCCGTTAACATTGTCCGTTAGAAGGGGTAACTATGATGTAATCATGACGATATTTTGCGACATTTTTATGAAAAACGACACCTTTTCTCTTTTTTTTTTAAAAAAAAAAATTCATGATTAATGATGTTTTAAACTTTTGTTAAAAGCAAATATTATCCATCACCATCATCATTTTCAAAATATATACCATAATGTGAGCCAGTATCCATTTTTCAATTTTCCATTACTTAAAATAAAATAAAATAAAATAAACACCCAAAAAACACAATATGTTAACTCAATACAAAAAAAAAAATTACAAAAAAAAAATAAAAATTACTAATATTTTTACATTTTAATAATAATAAAAAAATATTGAGTGTGCTCTCCAAACTTTGAAAATAACTTCATCTTCCAGCCATCCAATCCTCTTCCAAGAAAATGATGATATATACCTGAATCATTCTTCCATTCTTTGTCATTCTCAAGATCATAAAAGCTTTTTTTACTGTAATCAAAAGGAAAAAAAGACAAAACTCTATCTGATTAGAAAGAAGTTAAAAGGCAGAAAAAAGTAGACTAGATAGTTGGATTTTTATAGCAGCCATTAACAATCAACCCAATAAACATTAGCCATTGAGCATGCCATTATTACTTGAAGACTAAAAAATGATGGTCTCTTAAAAGTGCTGTTGCGCAAAAATGATTCGTTATGCAACCCAGTAAGTAAATTTGCAAAATCTATCACTAACCCATCATGCAACCTAACAATTAATATATATGCATTATCCATCATTAACCCATTTCCCTTGACATCAAGCACAACAAAGCATCACTAAACATCTAACATAAATAAATTTATAACTACAAAAATACACAATCTCATTAATAATTTTGAGATCATATTTTGTGCAATGCTTCATTCAAATGTGGCCGCCGTCTTATCTTTGCGGCGTTCTAAAGACGCCACTAAAGAGTTTAGATGACGTTTTTTAAAACGCCACTAATTCTTAACATCCGTTAACATTGTCCGTTAGAAGGGGTAACTATGATGTAATCATGACGATATTTTGCGACATTTTTATGAAAAACGACACCTTTTCTCTTTTTTTTTTAAAAAAAAAAATTCATGATTAATGATGTTTTAAACTTTTGTTAAAAGCAAATATTATCCATCACCATCATCATTTTCAAAATATATACCATAATGTGAGCCAGTATCCATTTTTCAATTTTCCATTACTTAAAATAAAATAAAATAAAATAAAAACACCCCAAAAACAATATGTTAACTCAATAAAAAAAAAAAATACAAAAAAAATAAATAAAAATTACTAATATTTTTACATTTTAATAATAAAAAAAAATATTGAGTGTGCTCTCCAAACTTTGAAAATAACTTCATCTTCCAGCCATCCAATCCTCTTCCAAGAAAATGATGATATATACCTGAATCATTCTTCCATTCTTTGTCATTCTCAAGATCATAAAAGCCTTTTTCATTGTAATCAAAAGAAAAAAAAAAAAGAAGACAAACTCAATCTGATTAGAAAGAAGTTAGAGGTAGAAAAAAATAGACTGGATAGTTAAATTCTTACAGCAGCCATTGACTATCAACCCAATAAATATTAGCCATTGAGCATGCCATTATCAGTTGAAGATTAAAAAATGATGATCTTAAAAGTGCTATTGCGCAAAAATGATTCATCATGCAACCCAATAAGTAAATTTGCAAAATCTATCACTAACCCATCATGCAACCTAACAATTAATATATATGCATTATCCATCATTAACTCATTTCCCTTGACGTCAAGCACAACAAAGCATCACTAAACATCTAACATAAATAAATTTATAACTGCAAAAATACACAATCTCGTTACTAATTTTGAGATCATATTTTGTGCAATGCTTCATTCAACCAATAAATCACATTTGAAAGATGAATAATCATTGTCATAATCCATTTGGGCAAAAATTATCATTTAGAGTATAGCTATAAAAATAAAAATTCAGTGCACCATAAGCTGTTATGATAGATATCATGATAGAAAAGTTTTTTTTTGGGTGAATAATCATGATAGAAAAGCTAATGCGCTTTTTAACTACCAGTCAATATTTCATTTCTCACCACACATTGTATGCATAAGTAATCAGACAATATAGTTCTAAAATAAGGGTTCAATGCGTGATAACGTAAGAGAAGGAATTCAATAATAGTTTAAAACTGGCAAATGTACACTATTCTACAACAATGCAGCACTGGATCTCATTGATTGATTGTAGATAATATTTGGTGAACAAAAATGTTACATGGAAAACTAAGTGATGAGCATAGTAGAGAACTCACTACAAGCGCTCTGCTGCATCATATAAGCCCATGGTTTCTGTACTTGTGTCATCAATTTTCAAGATAACATCCCCTAACAAAATGCCAGCCTTATTTGCAGGACCTCCTAGAGCAGCTGAAATTACCACCAGTCTGCACGTAATCCATCACCTCCTGTAGGGTAGCCAATTGACAGCTGTACAACTGTAAGAGCACCTTGTGTCCCTGACTACCTTCAAAGGACATATTAACAGATTTTAGAGAGAATGTCAACAGCCACAAAATTCGTTGACCCAAAATAGTTAAGAAAAGGCTTCCTCGAGTCAAAGAACAAGATACATTAAATTAAAGGGGCAAGAAGAAACTGCCTTGTACCCTGTTACAAGTACTAAGAACAGCAGCTTCCTCTATATGATTCAGAGCACAAAGCTCACTAATCGCTTGAGGCCATTATGCTTCGGGAATGGAAAGCTTTTCATGTATCTCAACTAGTGCTGTGTGAACATTGAGTCCTATGGCCACAACACTACCATATCTAAAAATGGTAAGGACTGTGATTGTGTTGCTCTAAGATTCTTGATTCTTTGAAATGTGTAGCGGTGTTTTAGTATTTTGCAGTAAGTAAATAACAGGAAGATTAGGCAAATGACGGACACGCAAGTGACTAAAAAACAAAACATGTCGATAAATACAATAAATGCATTTGATCGTGCATGTTTGTTGAGAGATTGAAGAAAATGGACGATCAAAACAATGCGATTCTGAGGTTGAATTTTTAGGATATAGCTAATCATGGTTGTCCTTTTTTGTTCCTGATAAATTTAAATTTTGTGATCAGGTTAGCAAAATGATAATCAAGATGCATCCAAATTGCATTTGTCTTGCTGATTACAACAAAGATCAGAATTTGTGTCTGGCACTAATGTTTAATAAGAATTCATAACAAATCGTTAAAAAGAAGGTTTAAAATGAGAAGTTGAATTGATGAAACAGAAAACCAATAAGAAAAAGAACAATTTGAAACCCAGGCCTCACATCTTTATAGTTACATTTTTTTACTATCTAAACAAAGATACGAGAGAAAACAACAAATGAAGCTTCAGGTGCATTTTGTGCTAATGCCAAATACTAATGCACCCAAAGAAGGCTTCAAAATAATTTGGAAAGCATATAACATGCAGTAGAATTCAAAAGAAAATTTACAAGACAATAGGATAAATGTTAAATATGACCTGGAAGAAGGTAATGAAGATAGAAATGGAACTGAATGAAAAGAAACTATATCTAATATTCAAATAAATAATACTACAAAGGGGGCATAGCCAATAAGAAAGTGCATAGGATCTGCCACATTCTGGTTTTAAGAAACTTACATTCAGATTCTTCCACACTTTCATCATCACACTCAGCTTCCCATTCAGTAGATACAGCGTCAGAATCTGCTGCATTGATGAAACTGAAACTAGTAAAAAAATGATTAACAATAGAGCTAAAAAGTAAGGACACAGACACAAACACAGACGAGATATAACATGGATATTTTCATAAAATGCAATACATGAGACCAAATACCTTAGTAGCTCACATGGAGTCTCTGCCACTAACTTGGATGGATCATGATCGTTTTGGAATACAACCAAGGTAAGTTACTAAAAATTCTTAGCCAAAATAACTATAAGCAAAGTGAAACCAAATACTCATCAAGAACATAAAGCAACTAAAGAATAAGAAATTGGTTAGTATCGCTGTCAACCAATGAACTTGAAAGAGCACATCCTATCCATTAAGAATGCCATTTTTAAATAACAAATGAAATCCAACAAGAAATAGATTCATATCAAATAGTGTTACAAATATCTAGCTGCACAAGAGTAAAAAAAAAAAAAAGAGCTCATCTCTAGGTGGCTTTTATATATTTCAAAAGATTCTTACCTCTAGAAAAAAAAAAAAAACAGAAGGGTTAAAAGAAGTAAAATTCTTACAAATAACACTTTCTAATAGAAAATATTATGATTTTATTCCACAAATACATATTGTAATATTACTTTGGCAGTGGTGGAAGCAAAAGAGTGATCTGCTATCAATAAAGAAGGAGATGACTAAATTTTTGTAGTCTGATTCCTAATGGTAAAAGAAAAGATTTGGTATTTTCTTAAGAGGGGGCTTAAAATCATGGCCTTTTGGAACTTGAAAGTACTGTCGAAGACAGAAAATTGAAACCAAACCATTAAAGAGGACAGCATGAGCGAAGCAATTGAAAACAATTAAACCAAGATCAATACTTCATTTCAATATTAAGAGCATAACCTATGTCCGATTCATGAACAAACGCATGCTTTTCCCTCAAAGTGAATGAAGAAAAGACTTCATAAATTAGAAGTTTCATCAAGAGCAACATGTACATACAGTCATACATACATACATATTCTTAAAAATCATCTAAACTATGCTCCCAAAACGGTAATAATATTCAACCACAGACAAATAGAACAAAAAATAAATTGAACATGAAATCACACAGACCAGATCTCACAGAATTGCTGTGGTAGAATGAAGAAAATAGTTTTTATTTTGCTGGGTACAAAATATTTTATTAATGGCAATAAAATAAGAGAACACTGTTGGGGACTCTTTGGATTGACATGATAGGAATGGAGATCATAAATCCAAAGATTGATATTTGTTATGTTAATTGTTTCTGATTTTAAAATTAAAATATATTTATTGACTCTTTATCGATCATTAATCTATGCAAATAAACAATTATCACAGAGAAAAGCCGGATCCAAAGTTTTTAAAGTATACTCTTTTTTTTTTTCATATGTACGTACCTTTGTATGAAATGGAAATCTAAGTGTGTGCAGATGCTTCATTTGCCATGATCATCATCTGCAAAGGAAAATTTGAGTTCAAGAGTGAAAAAAAAGAAGGTGAGATGGAGGGAGAGCTTGAGCATGCAGTAATGGATAGGTTTGTGAATTGCTTGGTATCCCTCACGGGTGATGGGAAAGGAAATGTAGTTGGTGGTAGTGGCGGTAGTGAGGGAGGTGGGTACTGGGCAGAGAGGATTGGTTGTAGCTGCAACCATCAAATCTATGGTGGATGAGTTTATATAGATTTTTAGCTATTGTAGTCTTCCCTAGTCCACCAATCCCCCATACTGCAACAACAAGGACATCATTATCATTTGACTCCATGCGCAACAACATTCTGAGTTTCTGCACACGATCCTCTAGTCCAACCGGGTGGTCTGCAACACTTAGATGTTCAAGATCTATTACATTTCCAACTTCCTCAATGATTTTAGCAATTAACTTCACTTCATCTCTGCCAATTTGAGCAAAATTAAAAAACAAGAATAAGTATTTAGCAAATTCATGCATCTGGTGCTATGACATTTCATATTTGATGGATAAACCAGTTTGATTTATTTTTATGAATAACATAAATGATTCTAAATATAATCTTATAACTACAATTAAGATTCTACTTATACATCCAAATTATATTATTCCTAATTTGTGTCGTTTTAGGTTATTTTGAAGCAAACATTTAGGCTTGAGGAAAATACCCGTTGTACACCTTCTTCAAGTCCCAACCAGACAAATTAGCAACCTCAGTAAAAGCTGCTCTCCACTTCTCCACCTTGCCGTCTGAACTCTTTCCAAAATGTTCTTCATGCTTGGCAAATGCTTCTGCAACTCTCCCTTTTTGCGCCCTCACATCAGATGGATCAACATCATAAAAAATCGGCAGAACAATCTGTTTAAATGTCTTCTTGCACTCCATGATCTGCACAAGTTCATCCAGACACCACTTCGACATTGCATAATTTTTTGAGAACACAATAATCGAAATACTAGACTCCTTAATTGCATTTAGTAGTTCAGAACCAATATCTTCTTTAGATATTACTGGCTCAAGTGTAGGATTTGAGGTACTTTCAGTGTTAGTATTATTTTTAACTTCATTTGTTTGAATAAAGTCAAAATTTTCTCCATCTCTCTATGTGCCAAATAATTCGGAATCAATTGGCTCTTCTGCCTTTCTTTTCCCTTTATTTATTTATTTTTAGTGAAATATCTTGATTTAATGTTTCTTTAGATGTAGATGATTGGCTGTCATTATCATTGGTTGACATATTAATATCATAATTAAAGTGCTGTAAAAAGGTTTCATATTCTAGTCTAATACCTATTTCTTTCATCAATATCTAAATCTAAGTCTTTATATAATTTTCTCCAATAATCCAATATTTCAACAATATTTTTATATTCAGTCTTGTTATAGGTATTGGTTTGAAGTACCATAATATCTTTTGTACCATAAAATAGCCTAGGAACTATTCATTCCATCATTGTTTATGAATGATATAGTTTTTAATTTATCACCAAATTGTTTATTTAGTTTTTTGCTTCTTTGTTTAAGTCAATATTTATTATAGAACCCAAATTGTCTATTTTAGATTATATAGACTCAACTTTGATTTCTAGATAATTTTGATTTATATTTTGATTTTTATCTAATTTAGAAAACCAAGAACACATAATATTCGTAATATTATTTAAATTAGAACACACACTATTTATATTTGCAGATTTTTAGTAATATGCAAATTACGGTCATATTTATTATTAATATTATTTTTTGTATTTTCAAAGTATATTATATATTCAGGGTTAATTGTCATTATAGATTGTTATTGGTACTTAAGACCCTCCTAGTGTATTATCTGGTGCTTAAAACATCTCTTTATGATATTAAAGACTTGATTATGGCCAATAATCAAAAGATCTTAATGAGTATATGGGCTTTGACAAAAACTATAAATGAAACAAATAATTATGAAGATATAAAATACAAAGGATACACAATTAAATACTAAACTTGACTAAGAATTTTTTTTTTATAGCATAAAGCACACCATACACACTTATATATATCAAAAATTTAGACGTGGAGAGAAAGACTTACATAGCTTGATCTTGCTTTCAAAAGCTCTTCACCAAGCTTTGATACCAATTACAAAATAAAAAAGGAAAGGAACATTCTACTATTTTTATTATAGAATTATAATGGAGTTATGGAGTTAAGAGAAGTTAGAGACGAAGTTAGAAACACAAAGATGGAGAAAATTTACATTGTTTATTATGTTGGCTTGAAAGCCAATTTATAAAATACATCTTACATATACAAACAAAACCATGAAGTCATTCTAGTCTACTAACATTATTACATTGTAGAAAATTAGCACACCAATACGTCCAAAATTTTATACATTTCTCCCAAAGGCTATAAGCCTACACCTGAACAAACTGAAAACCTGTGCTTAAAAACCAAATAAAACAAAAAAATAGTGGGGTTTTTTTTTGTAATGGAGGTTTGGGGAAGTAAACCGTGATGGATTTGCATATTCTCCTCTTTTAGTTTTAGAAAATAAAAAATAAAAAAGAAGAGAAAAATAAAAATAAGCATCTAAAACTTTTCTAATAAAGTCGATGTGCAAAAGCAAGCAAAGCAACAATAGAGTATAACATATAACAAACGAATAGAAACTAAAGACACATAGAAGCGGAGGTAGAAGATACAAATGAAAGGAAAAGCCATGATGAATAATAAATTTTAGTTTTTTAGGAATTGAGAGACATAAAAGAGGTGGTTCAAAATGTACTCAACTAGTGACGCATAACTAGTTATCTTATTTTCATCTTTTTCAACTGGTGACGCATTACCGGTCATGTCAGATCTCTCTAAATGTTGCAAGGAACATAAACTCAATCATCTATTTTTTACCTTTTCAAAGTGTCAATTATCAACTCAAAGGAGAATATAAAACAATTGCTGCAATATAATCAAGGGATTTGTCCTTTGACCAACTATTTTTATAATTGGTAATAATGATGGACAATGATTGTGTCCAATCATCAATTGCTTGTGGCTGATCCTTAAATGGAACACGAGACAAGTCTAAATAAGTATCATTTTGAGCTATTGGATAATTATGATTATTATCTTTTTTAGATATTACTGGCTCAAGTGTAGGATTTGAGGTACTTTCAGTGTTAGTATTATTTTTAACTTCATTTGTTTGAATAAAGTCAAAATTTTCTCCATCTCTCTATGTGCCAAATAATTCGGAATCAATTGGCTCTTCTGCCTTTCTTTTCCCTTTATTTATTTATTTTTAGTGAAATATCTTGATTTAATGTTTCTTTAGATGTAGATGATTGGCTGTCATTATCATTGGTTGACATATTAATATCATAATTAAAGTGCTGTAAAAAGGTTTCATGTTCTAAATAAGTTTCTCTTATCTAGTCTAGTACCTATTTCTTTCATCAATATCTAAATCTAAGTCTTTATATAATTTTCTCCAATAATCCAATATTTCAACAATATTTTTATATTCAGTCTTGTTATAGGTATTGGTTTGAAGTACCATAATATCTTTTGTACCATAAAATAGCCTAGGAACTATTCATTCCATCATTGTTTATGAATGATATAGTTTTTAATTTATCACCAAATTGTTTATTTGGTTTTTTGCTTCTTTGTTTAAGTCAATATTTATTATAGAACCCAAATTGTCTATTTTAGATTATATAGACTCGAAAATGATGTCCCATAAAGGGTGAGCCATAGCCCAGTAGAAATACACTAAACCAGCCATGAGCAATGACTAAAAGGTTAGCAGTTGATACACAGATACATCCACATATATCACATTTCGATTTCATGACATTAAGTCCATGTTACATTTCATTTCCCATGTCTTTTCCAACCTTGAGTTTGAAAACAAGGCTCAACCCTAGCCAAGTAACTTAATGAGATTTAGGATCATCTTTAAAACACTTTCAAAATTCATGAGGGATACACATTTTAGTGCTTTATCAATAACACATAAACCATTCCCACACTTTGCGAAAGATACACATTTCGGTGCTATATCAACATAACATAGAATCACTTCTATACCTTACAATTGATAACGATATACATTTTAGTGCTATATCAAATCAATTCAAACACTTCCATAATCAACACTTGATACACATTGTAGCGTTGTATCAATGTCACACAAAATCCGGTTTAGAGGTCCATTCCCTATCTTCCCCTAAACCGTGGAGTACATCCCCTATCTCCTCCCACACAACACATGTATATAAACATAGATCATATACAATCAATCAATACATAGAATTAATGTATTATTCCAGTTGCTATATTCAATAGCATACTCAATCAATTAGTTTTAGTTTGCCTAATCATCATGCAGTGTCTACAACAATCAAGACTATCCTCCACCGATAGCCCAAAGCAGTTATTTCTATACTGAAAATAAATGCACCAAATGGATATAAAATCAACATTTCAACTAGGTGAGCGATGAACGAATCTAACTACACCCTTTAATCTCATCCACATCCAATTCCAACATTCTCAATTTAATTCCTCTTTTCTTCAAATTAATTATGCCAATTAATTTATCAATGTAATTAGAGCATTTCCCATAATTAACATCGCAACCCTAAGGTTCCATTTTCACCAATAATCCAATATTGATCTCATTTCTCTATGCCAACCATGCATACAAGTTTATATAAACAAAACCCCAACTTTTGTAAAATTACACAAGGATCCAAACTTTCTCAAAATTACCCAACAACCCCCAACTCATCAAAACGCTAAAATTCAAAGACAAAACTCATGAGAAGGAGTAGGATATCCCTACCTCGAAGTTAGAGCTCAAACGGGGAAGTTGAAGAAAACCAAAATGCTCCAAACTCAAAGATCCACGGATCAAAATGGAGCCCTCGATGATCCACACACTTTTTACAAAGGCCGGAGGATAGTGAGACACTCTAACTAGATCAAACCCTAAAGAGAAGGGAGTTTCTAGAGAGAGGAGCTCTCAAAATATCTTTTTAGAAAGTAAGAGAGAGAGAGAGAATGTAAAAAGTGATTTTAAAATGCCCAGCTGCCAACTGATATACGGCATTCCCGCTCGAGCAGAGAACATAACGCTCGAGCGTCAAGAACAAAAAACTAGGTACGCTCGAGCGCAAGAAGGCCCGCCCAAGCGCCAAGACACAAGAATAAAGTACATCCGCTCGAGCGCGAAAACCAGTCCGCTCGAGCGTGGATTTCTCCCTCCCAGAACTTACACCAAAAAGTACTACCCGCTCGAGCGCTAGAGTACCCGCTAGAGCGCGACCGCTCGAGTGTAAAGAAACCCGCTCGAGCGTAAAAATCACACCTGTAGAAGTTTTGCAGGGACACGAAATACTGGGAGTGTGCAATCTCCGCGAGCGCAACAAGGCCCGCTCGAGCGAAACGACCAAAAACCTGATAACAAGATTTTAGACCAAGGTTCAACCCACCTGTTCGAAACATGCCCAACACATCCTAAAACTCAAACAAATGGAATTAAAGGATGACAACAAGATAGAAACAACTACCAACTCCACAGAACCGAGTCCGGAATACAACAGAACAGTAAAGGGACAACCGGGATCGCTATAATTATCCAGAACAAATTTAGAGATAATTAAAAATGTGAAATCTTACGTCTTCGAAATTTGATATGAAATATTTAGGAGAAGCTTATATAATTTTGGGTATGAAATTAGAGAAAACAACTAAAGGTATTACATTAAATCAATCTGGAATCCTAAAGAAGATGTTAAAAAAGTTTGATTATTATAATCTCAAACCTATTTCAACTCATTTTGATCTTAGCATGAATTTAAAGAAAAATAATGGCGCACCTGTATCTCAACTTAGATATTCTCAGATTATTTGACCACTTCTCTATATTGCTAATA